CCACCCCCGGAGGCACAGCGACGGGCGGTGGCTCTGCGCCCCGGCCATGGTGTAAACATGGGGTAGTGGTTACAATGCAGGGGCCTTATCACATTTATTCGGTTAAGTCGGTTAACGTATAATTCGAACAAATCGAACAGGTGCTTTTCGGGTATGTTCAGTATAGTTTTCAGGCCGTTATACTCTAGTGAAGCAGCTCCGCAGGAGTGGTTTCGTCTACTGACTGGTTTGACGCTGCTGCTGCTGATGGGGATGGGGATGGGGACGGGGACAGCATGGGGATGATGCAGATGATGATGACGATGACGACAACGATGGTGATGCTGATGCTGATGATGGTCGTGATGCTAGTGGTGAAAGTCATGCGGTTGATAGTTCGGACGGTTTTTGTGGAGCTTATGGCCCATGATAGTTTCTTTTATCGTTATGCCAAGTTGGGTTGAGCTTAGGAGCTGAGTCCCCCTGCTCTCCAGGAGCACTTCCCGTTCTCTTCGATGACCTGTGGTTTGGTTTGGCGTTCTTCCAACTCAGGGCTGGAGTAGTGTCTGCGATTGGTCTGCGTGTAAAGTTCGGGGTGGTATACCTGGAAGCCCAATCCTTTCATCTGCCGACGCCTAAGTAGCGCGGCAAAGCGAAAAGTTTCGCTAGGTTGCAGTGGATCCCATGCTGAAGCTTCAAGCTCCCACGCCGGACATGAGCTCATGACGCTTCAAGGATGTCTCCGCGGGGACCCCAAGAACAGCCCCGATTACCAGCCAGCGAGTCTCCAGCGACCTGACTCTCTTGGAGGTTTGGCAAATAACACGTTTGATGTTCCCTTCGCCGGGTTTCAGTGTCCGGCAGGGGGAGCAGCGGAGTCGAGATGGGATGGCCCAAGATCGAAGTAGTATACGTCATGGAGTCATGGATGTACTTCTTTCATCGTGGCTTGCTTTCATGCCAGAGACAAGGAGAAGGAAGCGCCGCCGAGGGGACTCGTGGCAGCCAAGATCCTGCGCCTCGGGTTGACATAGCCTTGCTGTTGGGGATGCGCTTGAAGACAGAGGGACTCCGGGCGTACAGGCTTCGGGGGCCTAGTTTATGGGCTTTGTGCTTAGCTTGGTTGTGTTACCCAAGGCCACAAAGATCAACTAGTCCGAATATGAAAGCTCGGGCTCCTTTTGGGATGCTTTAGGGCAGCATAACACCAGAAAACGATCATGTTTTCGGAGCTGCCCAGTCCGCTGAAAGCTACAGCAAGGTCACTGTGATAGTTATGATCACCATTTAGCCAGGTTCACCACAGCAAGATCAAACGAAATGGGATTGGTAGATCGAAAAGTTGTGCAAGGCTGTGGGCTCTGGCTGAGCATGCAGCCTGCTGCCCTCCATCTTGGCACCAGCAAGACAAACGCTTGCCAATTGAAGCGTGGATGACCTGCGTACAGCGTATGTCCGGTCTTGCCGTGAGGTTCTTTGACCAGCGCTGTCAGACACCTACGCCGGCTGGTGAGGCAAGCAGAGCATGGCTTGCAGCCCTAGGATTTCGCTGCATCTCACGTAGCCTTCCCGATGTTTAGGATCTTGTACCGCTGCTGTTGCCGTGGTTGCACGACTACGATGCTTATTAATCATACATTCTGGTTTAGAAAGCTCCGATGAGTGCAGTGTAACTGCTTTCCCTCCAGTCTGGATTGGTGGGCTTGCCCACGCCTTTGGGCCGCCATGTGGTTCCAACGTCGTCAAAGCTCCTTGGATATAGTGGGGATTTCTGCGACTTCAGAGAGCGGGCTCGAGGATTTCCAGGACGCGATAGACTTACACACCGCCTATAGTTTTTTCAAACATGAACGCAATCTTTTCTGCAGAGAGTCAACGAGCAAGGGAGGAAGGAGCGAATGGAACATATGATCAGATGATCTAGCACGAGCAAGCAAGACTAGCTTTCAGCTTTCGAGGTCTTCTGGGGCTGCTTGTCCGGTGGTTTCAAGCTTCGGGCCATTAAGTCGAAGTCCTCAGAACCGGACAACACATGCTTTACATTCCGGTTTCTAGTCTTTCGGCAGTTTAGGCTATACCGCGAACAGCATGACGACGACAGATACAATACCACAATTCTTTCTTCTACTACTACTACTACTACTACTACTACTCCCGCTGCTGCTACTACTAGCACCATTATTATTCTTTCTACTACTGCTACTACTACTTCTTCCTCTACTGCTTCTACTACTGCTGCTACAGCAACTACACCTACAACAACAAACTACTACTGCTACCTGCTGCTACTTCTACTACTACTGCTGCTACTGCTACTACTGCTACTACTGCTACTACTGCTACTACTACTACTACTACTACTACTACTACTGCCACCACTACCACTACCACTACCACTACCACTACCACTACCATTACCACTACCACTACCACTACCACTACCACTACCACCACTACCACTACTACTACTTCTACTGCTCTTGCTATTGCTAC